AGAAAGAAACAATAATAAAAAAAAAAGAACTATAATGAAAGAAGAAAAGAGAGAGAGAAAAGTAACAGAAAATGAGAGAAGGGGAAGAAGGTAAAAAGAGAAAGAAAAAGACTGGGAGAAAAAGCAGTACAAGAACGTGGGCGTGTGTGCAGGAGAGGAGAGACAAAGAGAGGCGTGGCTGGGGGCGCTGCTGAGCGCCGGGGCTTGTTGCCGTGTGCCTGCGGGCACGTCTGTGCACTGAGAGGCAAAAAGGAAAAGCCACCCAGTGAAATAAGACTCTTGAATGGCCGTGGTTGGAGGGTGAGTATTCCTGAAGTCTGCCTGTCTGTGTTTGTCTGAGGGCAATGTGTATTCTCGCGCTCGCGCGTGTGTGTGAGCGTCACACTGGATGAGGACATGGGAGAGAACTAGAAAGAAATAATAGATCCATTACAATAGAACAAAAGTACAAAGAAGATAAATAGTAACGATGCTTTTTGCATGGGCTCTTCTGTTCCTTTGATAGTGTTAGCTGCGTACATGTGGGACTCATAAAGAAGGGGGGTCACGTGGGGTGGGGAAATTGCCAGAGAAGAATACAAGTAAGGAGACAAAAAAAAAGGAATGGTGAAAAGTGTTGCTTGGGTAATTAGAATGTCTGCACCAAGTGCCCATGCAGTTTGCTGTCCAAGCAGGGCCCCCAGAGACCAGTGAGGTCAGCGGCTTGGCAGGCTGGGTTGCTTCGCACTGGGAACAATCCGCTGTGGCGAGGAAGAGCAGGGCTCACAGATGTGGCTCGGGCGGCTGTTCGGAGGCAAAGGGGAGTCATCCAGCAGACGTTGCTGCTCTTGTGCTTTAAGAAACTTGGGTCTGCTTAGCTTTTAGGTGGATTTACTTCCAGGAAGTGCAGGGTAGCCCTCCTCTCTGGTGGGTGCTGAGATCTTCCCGTGCTGGGAATGTGGGGCCGTCTTCACCCATTCTGACTCAGTTCTGAAAAGCTAGTTAGTTGGGTCCTTACTCAAATTTTAAAAACGACTTGCAGTCAACCTCAGCTCATGGGGCCTCCCTCCCCGTGTGTCCCAGGAGAACAGGGCTGTACAGGGTTTCCCATAACGTGCTGACAGGCCCTGTTTCGACTTCACCAAATGCAGTGCTGATCTCAACGGGCTTCACTTTGAGGATCAGAGAGTTGGCAGTTGAGTAGAGCCAGGGTGGTGCTGATCTGCTTGCTGTGGTGATGATATGGCGTTGATATGGACATTTCTGGGCCTGGCAAGTGTTTGGAGGGTCATCTCTCTCTCTTTCATGGACATAGTCACCGGTTCTTGGGAGAGTCCATGGCATCACCCATGGCCTCTGACTTGTTCCCTGACAGGGGCTCAACCTGTGTGAGGCACTGTACTCCCGAAGCAAGTAGCCCCTCCGTGTAGACTCTGAGAATCTGGAGTTCACGGCTATCTTTGCCTCTGGAGAAACCCATCCACCCTCTAGGAAGCCATGCTGGAGAAGACGTACAGCACCAGCAATCTCACACAGAGCCACACAACGGGTCCTCACGTTCTCTTGTCCAGCTCACCCCCAGAAACGCAGGCCTATCACAGCAAAGTAAAATCTGCCCTCACTCCCTGATTTATCAGCTTGCCAGCCATCTCAGGATCATAAGACCACGCAGGTCCAACCACTTGGAACTGGTGGGAGATAGCAGTGACCCAAGGGTGGTGTAGAAGGAGGGGCTTTCGCCTCATCTCCTTAGTGTCTTCATCTCAGCCACCCAAAATAAAGTGATGAGTAAAAATGATTTGCTTGTCAGGCAATGACATCCTTACACACATCCTCTCATTGGGGTGTAGGTACCTGGGCCCTGCTGGTGCCAGTTTATAGAGCCTTGGGGATCCACTGAGGTATTTTGAGCCACAAAGTAGCATGATTGAAGTCTCAAACATTTTATTATTTTACAAAATAACTTTGATAAATGTTGGTGGTTTACCTCTAGCTCAGTGGTTCTCAACCTTCCTAATGCCACCACCCTTTAATACAGTTCCTCATGTTGTGGTGACCCCCCCAACCATAAAATTAATTTTGTTGCTACTTCCGAACTGTAATTTTGCAACTGTTATGAATAGGGTGACCCCTGTGAAAGGGTTGTTCGACCTCCAAAGGGGTTGCAACCCACAGATTGAGAATCGCTGCTCTAGATGTTAAGAATCAAGGAAGAAAGATAAGGCGAGAAGAATAGTAAGGAGGAAATTATTTACTCTTCCTAGGTCCCGCTTCTGATATGTTAGCTGCGTGGGTCTAGGGAGGAGTCAGCGAAGGAGATGGAGGAATAGATCAGCTTAGCATTTTTCATAGTCTTCCTCAGTGCCACGGAAAGCTCTTTAGCACCATCGCAATAGGCAATCATGACGATCACGGCAGGTTTCTGAGACTCTACATTCAAGGAACCAACTATGAGCTCGGCACTATGCACTCAATATACGGCTCTCAGGTACAAAGCCAGCACATGTTACAGAGCCTCTACAGGTGGGATTTGTAGGGTTTCCAGGAATTGACGGAACACCCATGTTTCAGAAAGCCAAAGAAACACTGGAACCACACACTCATCTCTGTCAGGAAATTTGGAAGACAGCTGCCCGGCCAACTGCCTCGAAGAGATCCCTATTTGTTCCCGTTGCAAAGAAAGCAGACCCAACAGGATGTGCAGCAGTAGAACGATGTTACTGATATCACACACACGCAGAATCTTACTTAAGCTCATCCAACAAGGGTTACAGAGGCACACTGACAAGGAACTCTCTAGAGTGCAGGCTGGATTCAAAAAGGACGAGGAACAAGGGTTTTCATGGCCAATGGCTGATGGATCTTGACTCAAAGCAGAGAAGACCAGAAAGAGGTTTACTTGTCTTTCATTGGCTAGGCAGAGGCATTGTGTGGACCGTAACGAACTGTGGATAACCTTGAGAAGATGAGAATTCCAGAACACTTCATTGTGCTCCTTCGGAACTTTCCCACGGATCAGGAGGCAGTTATGTGAACAGAACAAGGGAATACTGCATGGCTTCAGGGTTGTGTCCTGTCACCATACTTGTTCAATCTATAAGCTGAACAAATCATCAGAGAAGCTGGATTAATTGAAGAAGAATGCGGCATCAAGATTGGCGGAAGGTTTATTAAAGACCTGAGATGTGCAGATTGCTTTGCTTGCTGAAAGTGAGGAGGAATTGAAGCACTTGCTAATGAAGATCAAGGATTGTAGCCTTCAATCTAGATTACAACTCAATGTAAAGAAGAGTAAAATTCTCAAAACTGATCATTCAGTAATATCGTGATAAATGGAGGAAAGGTTGAAGTTATCAAGCATTTTGTCTTACTTGGATCCACGGTCAATGCTCATGGAAGCAGCGCTCAAGAGATCAAAGGACAAACTGACCTCTAAAAGGACTAACTAATCAGTATTGGAAGAAGTAAATCCAGAGTGCTCCTTAGAGGTAAGGTTGGCAAGATGTCGTCTTACATCCCTATTGTCAGGAGAGACCAGTCCCCGGAGAAGGACAGCATGTTTGGTAAAGTGGAGGGGCAGCGAAAGAGGAAGACCCTCGATGGGATGAACGGACATGGTGGCTGCATCAATGGGCTCAGGCATGGGCACAATTGTGAGGATGGTGCAGGACCAGGCAGTGTTTCGTTCTGTTGTATACAGGGTCGCTGTGGGTCAGAGCTGACTCGATGGAGCCTAACAACAACACCACACGTGAGAAGTACCTGGATATGGATGAGGGAGTTTTGATGAAAGAGAGAAACGATATACAACAACTGATGGATTGAACATGCAGTATCTCCATGTTAAGAAAATAGCACTCCTGGTTATTATCCCCAATACCTACTAGAGTAGTCACTTTCTTCTCCTTGATGTAATTCTCAATGGCAGCATTGTTCGGAGCAAATACAGTGTAAGCATCGGCAGCCTCGATGACACTGGCCAGGTTATGTTGCTGCGACGGAAAGAGACAAGAATATGTCAGGGGATCTCCACTTCCAAGGCACCTGAGCAAATGGTCAGGCAGAGAACATGGTACTTGCAATGATGTAGCCACGGAAGATGGAATAGTCGGGCATCTGTTCCAGCCGGGTCAGCAGGCCTGGTAAGGAGCCAATGAGACTTCTCTGGGGAATCAGAACCTGGCAAAGGAAGCCGAGAACTCGGTGAGCACATTTTGAAGGACTTGTCACTCAGCTGTGCATAGAAAGGTCCCCTTCATCTCTGTGGGTAGGTGGCCCAAGGAAAGGACACTGGCCAGGATCTGAAGATTAGGCTCAACCTGAAAACATTCTTGGATGCTGAACAACATGGCTGGAAGGGATTTTTACATGTTATTAGTTCAGTTTTAAGTCTAGCTCTTCAATCTCCCTGGTTTGAGAAAATTTCACCTTACAAAAAAGACATTACAGTTCTCTGCAGTAACACATTCCAACCTTTTTTTGACTCTTCTACACTGTCCAAACAAACTCACGGCCATAGAATGAGTTGATTCTATACACAGAGTAGAATGAGTCCTGTGGGTTTCAGAGACTGCCAAGCCTTAGAGGAGTAAAAGCCTCATCTGTCTCCCTGGTGGTTTTGCTTATGCCCCTGAGGGTAGCAGCCCAGTGAATAATCCACTATGCTACTAGGGCTCTGGACTCTACACTTTCAGGGTGGAAAAAATCCAACCCCGATCCTACCATTCCTCTGTAGCCAATTCCAACTCATAAGGACCCTGTTGGACAGAGTAGAACTACCCCAAGGGGTCCCCAAGGTTGTAAGAGGTAGACTGCCACATCTTTTCCCCTTAGAGTGACCGGTGGGTTTGAAGCGCTGATCTTCCTGTTAGCAGTTGATCAGGACTCTAACCCCTCTAGCCGGGGCTCAGGGAAGACCCTCTCAACAGGACCGAAACCCCACTGGCTGCAGAGGAAATCCATGTTTGTGGCTGTTCTCGTTCACTTGCATATTGTTCAGGCTTTCTCGTGGCCTTTTTATTTACCTGGAAGTCAAACTGCCAACCAGGGCCCGAAGCTGACTTGTGAAAGGTTTTGTTGAGCGCAGGACAAACCAATATGCCTTAAAATAAGGAATTTTCATCTAAAAATCTGGGTTTCTGACTTTTTAAAAACCATTTCATTGGGAGCTATTTGAGATAGCATACCATTCCATAGTTTGAGCACATCAAGCTGTATTGCACAATTGCTACTACAAACCGTTTCAAGACATTTTCTTCCTTCTTGAACTCCTTGATGTCTGATGTCTGTTAAAAGATCCACTAGTCTGCATGCCTGTTGGTTAAGGAAACTCCTTAGTTACAGCCCCTACCACTCTCTGACACCTTCAACTTGCTCCTTGTACTCATTTCTACCATCGGTCTGAACCATACAAGCATTTGGGTTTTCCAGCCCTGCATGATTAACGTGGGTCCAGCATGAGGCTGCTGACGAACAATCAGGTCAGGGGTTCAATACCTGCAGCTGCTCTGTGGGAGAAAGACGTGCCAGTCTGCTTCTGGAAAGATGACAGCTTTGGAAATTCTAGGGAGCAGTTCTAGTCTGTCCTCTAGGATGAGGATGAATCAGCGTTGACCCCAGGGCAGAGGATGGGGTTGATTAACCTTAGGGACAAGATAGCTACTTCTAGCTTCCCATTCGGCATAGAGTCATCACCAATGCAAGAATCCCAAATTGGAATGGTTTCTCATTCAATCAGCCTTCAACATTTATTTGGCCCAGTGGTACAAAAGCGGTGCCATGCTGGCTGTTAAGACAAAGACAAATTTGTGGTGTGAGCCCAACACAACTCTGTGTGGCGAAAAGACTTGCCAATCTGCTCCCATTAAGGTTACAGCCTAGAAAACCCCACAAGGAAGTTGGGCTTGGTCATATCGGCTCACTAGAAGTCCAGATGGTAATATTCCATTTGGAGGAGGTGGGTTGAGGTGCCATGCTAGCACATTTTTTGATGTGCCCCACAGAAAATGTAAGTGGAAAGGAGAGATAAAAGTTATGTTTTGGGGTGGTTTTTGTATAAGAATTCTTGAATGCTTTTAATGTCCGGTTCAGAGGAGCAAAATTCCCTGAACAAGTCACATTGCTTTGCGTTCTGTGAAGTTGTGAAATCAGCATAGTTGCCTATAAAGGAGGAATCGCTTGCTCATCAATGCTTCTTAACAATAAAGGAGGAAGACAAGACCTTTGCAAAATACTGCACTCAGAGTCTGCGGAAGAGCCTCTTTTTAAAAAAATGGAATTTAAAATAAAAAATTTGAGTGGCCAGAAAGTACTAATAGAGAACAATTTTAGTTAAAATGCAGTTAGTTCATTGGTTTTTCCAACCCTTCACCTTCCAAAACTTCCCAATATACCCTAATTCTTATTTTAAGTTTAAATGAAGCCCTTACTATAAATGAAAATTATAGAGTGGCTTAAAACCCTAGTTTAGGAAATCTCTCCCTGACCCTACTTCCTATCTTTGAATAATACATTTATATGATGTGTCTTAGAAGAAAATGAAAATCCCACAGTATTTTTTCTTATTTTTCCATTGTTTCCCTAGGACCTTCCTTGTTCCATATTTTTAGGGTGCAGTAATGCAGAGAGGGGTAGGGAAAGTGATACCTAAATATTTGCTTCTCTTTAGTTCTTAATTATGTCCCATCTGTATGCATATAGTGCCCGATACTCGGGTCCTTACGTATCTCTTAAAATGTTGCCATAAGTAAGAGAGATAATATGAAGAGACTTTGAAAAGTTGATGGAAAAAAGTGAATGGAAAGAAAATGGCATTTTCCTGTGAACTTTTTGAAACTCCCTCAAACAAGTGGCCACGTTTTGGTCTAGGGCCTTTTGTGCAGCATAAAAACCAGCTGCCGTCAAGCTAATGCTGACTCCCCGTGACCTCAAAGAACAGGACAGAGCTGCCGCCTAGGATGGATTGCTAAGGCTACAACCTTTATGAAAGCAGATTGCCTCGTCGTTCCCCTGCAGAGGACGATGGGTTGGAATCACCAATCTTTGGGGTAGCAGGCAAGTACTTATCTACTGTTAGATACTTGAGCTACACCAAAGCTTCCTTTGAAGAGCTTAGCATGAACCAATGGCAACGGAGTCAAATGGAATGAATAAAACAAATAAAACAACCCCCACCCCCGGTAGCGAGTCAATCTGGATGCATCGTGACCCTAAAGGACAGAATAGACTTGCTATCTAAGATGTCTGAGGCTATACATCTTTATGAGACGAGAGAGCCTCATCTTTCTCCCTTGGAACAGCTGACGGGCTTGAACCGCTGGGGTAGCAGCCCAGCTCTGAACTCACTGTGCCACCAGGATATCAATGGAACGAAGAGGGCCCCTAAGTAGTTTTAAAATACAAGTAACAAAATACAACACAGCTTCAACTCTTAGATAAAAGTTGCATTTCCCTTCCCACAAGAAGATACGGTGCAGGAGTTTAAAATACAGAGAATAGGTGCTTCCGGTGTGGAATGACGGACCCTTGTACCTTGTTGATGATGTGTATCACTCCATTTGTGGCCGCATTGTCACCATCGATGATGGAAGCGCCTCCAATCGTGATATTCTGCAAATGCAACCACAGGGGGAGGTGAGGGTCCTCAGAGTTCCCCTAGAGATGGCAAGAACTTCAAGGGTTTTCCATTTTGTGTGTGCAGAAGTCGTCTTCATACTTTTTGGATCATAACCCACAATAAGAAATACTTTTGGATCGTTATTCATTAAAAAATAAAAAAAGAAAAGGAAAAAAAAAAAGACCCAGTATATGTCTCCCACCACCAGTAAATTGAATTAAACAATCCCTTACTATGAAAGGGATACTCTGATCATATCGATTTTATTCTCTTACATTTTATTTCATTAAAAATTCTGGTTAAGGGTCACTAAATTGACCCCACAGTTTGAAAAACATTGTTCAAAGTAACTGACTTTCTTGGTTGGAATCCAGTAGGATGCCTAGTGGGGTCCAATCAAGGGCAATGTAGCAGCGAGGAATTACTAAACCCAAATGAAGGCTGAACATGATGGTGGGACAAGAGGGAAGTAAAAAGGAAATAGAGGAAAGAACCAGGAGGCAAAGGACATTTATAGAGGCCTAAATACAGGCACACACACATATATATGTAATGAGAGGGGAATAGAACTATGTACTCATATCTATATGTTAAGAATGAAGGTTGCAGATGGACTTTGGGCTTCAACTCAAGTACTCCCTTAACACAGGAACACTTTGTTCTAATAACCTGGCATTCTATGATGCTCATCTTCCCAACACCATCTCTGAAGACAAAATGTGTGCATACGCAAATGTGAAGAAAGCTGATGGTGCCGGGGTATCAAAAGATATAACATCTGGGGTTTTAAAGGCTTGAAGATAAATAAGTGGCCATTTATCTGAGAAGTAACAAAGCCCACAAGGAAGAAGCACTCCAGCCTGTGGGATCATGAGGTGTTGATGGGACCATGTACCAGGCATCTAAGACCCAGAATAAAACCACATACCCAAGGTGAATGCAGTGGGGGGGGGGCATGGAGTGGAGACCCAATGCCCATCTGTAGACATCCCCTCACTGAGGGGTTGCAGGGAAGAGATGAGCCAGTCAGGGTGCAGTATAGCACCAATGAAACACACAACTTTTCTCTAGATCTTTGGTGCTTCCTTCACCCCACTATCATGACCTCAATTCTACCTTACAAATCAGATTAGACCAGAGCATGCACACTGCTACAGATAAGAGCCCACAGCACAGGGAATCCAGGATAGATAAACCCCTCAGGGCCAACAAAGAGAGTAGAGATACCAGAAGGATTAGGGGAGGGTGGAGGAGAAAGAGGGAATCGATCACAAGGATCAATCTAGAACTCCCCCCTCCCAGGGGGATGAGTATAGGAAAAGTGGGTGAGGGGAGATGGAGGACAATGTAAGATATGGAAAAAATAATCTATAATCTATCAAGGGTTCATGAGGGAGTGTGGGGTAGTAAGGGGCAAGAAGTGGGGAGCTGATATCAGGGGCTCAAGTGGGAAGAGAATGCTTTCACAATGATGATGGTGGCACATGTGCAAATGTGCTTGACACATTGGAGGAATGTTTGGATTGTGATAAGATGTAAGAGCCCCCAATAAAAGCATTTTTTAAAAAGTTAAAAATTATATCAGGAGTAAAAAGTCAACTGCTTAACCCACCAATCAACCAAGACAGAAACTGGGCCCCACCTTTTCTGGTTCCCTGTTCTCTTCTCCCACCTTTACTTTCTAGTTGAAATTCTTACTGGGAACTCCCAGGTGGAGAAAGGGATTTACCTCATCTTGAGCTTCTCACAAATCCACCTTGCATATCTCTTGTTGTTCAAGGGAGACATTTATATCAGACAAAGGAATTCACTCATTCAAAATGTCTTTCAAGGTTAACTTCTCCAGACCAAAGGAGATTTATCTTTGATTCAACAGGATCCGGCGTATGCTTGCCCTGAGTGAGGGTGTCATTCATGCTTGCCAGAAGGATCAGTGACTTACAACACAGATGCAACGTCTGATATATGTATAATATAGTGAAATGAACATGATTATATGTAAACATTTATGAGCTCAGATGTAACTGCTCTACTTCATAAAAGAAACTAATAAACCAATACTTGTATATTTAGCAAATTCTAACTCAAGAAGAAAATGTATTATAATGCAATTTGAAGAGACCTGGAGTTAGAAAGCCAAAAAGGGAGACTATACTGAACATATGTTGAGTTGAAAGAATTGAAGCTCAAATTCAAGACTGGAGGATTCTATGGGCAAAATACTGAATGATGCAGAAAGCAAGACAGGCAATGGAAAGAATCTATAGAGTCTCCGCACTGAAAAGAATTGGTTGCTGTTTAACCATTACAAGATATAGCATATGATCAAGGGCTGATGATACTGGAGGAAAAAGTCCAATTGGGACTGAAGGGTTAGCCAGAAACAAGGCTCCAGGAATGGATGGAATGCCAATTGACATGTTTCAACAAGCTGACGCAGAGTTGGAAGCACTCACTTATCTAGGCCCAGAAGTTTGGAAGACAGCTCCCTGGCCAACAGACTGGAAGAGATCCATATTTGTGATCATTCCAAAGAAAGGTGACACAACACAATACAAAACAATATCATTAATATCACATGCAAGTACACTTTTTGCTGAAGGTAATTTTTAAACAGTGGTTGCAGAAGTCGATGATGGATGGGGAAATGCCAGAAATGGAAGCTGGATTCAGAAGAAGAGAAGGATATTGTGGCCGACATTAGATAGATCTTGGCTGAATGCAGAGAACACCAGAAAGCTGTTTACTTGTGTTTTATTGACTATGCAAAGGAATTTGACTGGGTGCATCGTAACGAACTATGGATATCATGGGGAAAGATGGGACTTCCAGAACACTTCACTGTGCTCACATGAAACCTTCAGACGAACCAAGAAGGAAGTCATGTGAACAGAAGGGGACATGGCATGGTTTAAAATCAGGAAAGGTGGGCATCAGGGTTGTATCCTATCACCATACTTATCCAATCTGTAGGTTGAGTAAATAATCCAAGAAGCTGGTCTATATGAAGAAGAATGAGGCATCAGGACTGGAGGAAAGCTTATTAACCTGTGGTATGCAGATGACTCAACTTTGCTTGTTGAAAGCCAAGAGGGCTTGACGCCTTCAGTGTGGGTGCAAGTCAATGTATAGAAAACAAAAGTCCTTACAATTGTACCAACAGACCACATCATGATAAATGGATTCGCAATCAAAGATGATGGAAGCAGCAGTCACGAACTAAAATGAAGTACTGCAATGGCAAATCTGCTGCAGAAGACTTCCGCTAAAGGGTGGAAGAGCAGATGTCACTGTGGGGACTAAGGTGCACTTGACCCAAGTCCTGGTACTTTCAATCACCTCATGAGCATGTGAAAGCTGGACAATGCATAAGGAAGACAGAGAATTGATGCCTTTGAGTTATGGCACTGGGAAGGAATATTGAAAGTACCTGGGACTGCCAGAGGAACAAACACATCTCTCTGAAAGAAATACCCCAGAGTTCTCCTTAGAAGCAAGGTTGGTGTATTTTGGATATGTTATAAAGTGACACTCATCACCTGGGGAAGGTCATCATTCTCAGTAGAGTGGAGGGTGTGAAAAAGAGGAAGGGCTTCCACGAGATGGATTGACATGGTGGCTGCAACAATGGGCACAGAAACAATTGTGAGGATGGTGCAGGCCCGGGCAGCATTTCATTCTGTTGCATCTCGGGTCATGAGGATTTGGAATGGACTCCCCAGGACCGAATAATATGGAGAACAATGGGCACAGACCAGGGAATCTCTGGGTGCTATAAATGTTATGCTAATAGGCTAAGATACTGAGAAATTGGAGGTTCAGGTCCACCTCCAGGTCCCTTCAAAGAAAGCCTCACAACCTACTTTCAAAAACCATACATGGAAAACCCTGCAGAGCTCAGTCTGCTGTTACACAAAAGGGGTCATAATGAGTCGAGAAGGATTCCCCAGGCAATGGAGTGGTAGGCAGAGACCCATCCCAGGCTCACCCAGAGGAGCAGGCGTGAGACTACTGATTTCTCAAACGCTTATGTCTGGGGCCCATGGTCTACCTTGGTGCAATTCACGCTCTGTAGAATAATCTCCACTTTTACCAGCCACAATTCGTTAAAAAGAGTGTTAGTGCCACAGAGAAGCCTGGAGGCCCTGTGGGTTAGGGGTTGGGCTGTGAATTTTGAATAAAGAATATTGAAAGTACCGTGGACCGCCAGGAAAACCAACTCATCTTTCTAGGAGGAAGTACAGCTAGAAGGCTTCTTAGAAGCAAGATGGCAGGACTTCCTATTGTACACTTTGGACATGTTGAGAGGAGGAATCCATTTCTGGAAAAGTACACCATGCTTGGTAAAGGAGAGTGCTCAATAAGATAGACTCAGGGCTGCACCAAGGGGCTCACACGTAGCAACACTTGTGAGAAGGCACCAGGCAATGTTTGCTCTGCTTTACTGAGGGTCCCTAGGAATTGCTACTCCCTCTGTGGCAGCTAACAACAAGAACCAGTTCCTAAGGAATCCCACACAGAAATGAAAGTTGTGAAATGGCACAGCCTCTACTCAGAGAACCTGAATGCTCTGCCTTTTCTGGGTCAGTCTGACGTCTGTCAGGGGGAGCCTGGTCGCAGAGGCCAAACTTTATAGGGTCAGGGTGATGGCAGGGTGTGGTCCTCAGTATGTTTCTTGAAGTGGGCTGGTGCCTACTTGAAGCTTTATTATCATTTCCCCCCTGGTTTTGCCCATGTTTGAAGGTTTCTGCAAGCCAAACAATTGAGAAGAACGATGAGCAGTCCGATCACAGAACTCTCTTACCCCATCCACTTTCGCCAGGTGGAGAAAGTTACCCTGCAAAGACGTTGCCAGCATGTCCAAAGGTGCTAGTGTCTGCAGCTCTGCCACCCCGTATGTGCCCAGGAGCGTATGATATCTAAAAACAAGCATCCACAATGACCATAAGTAACTATCCAAGCAAGAAGCAGAGCAATTAAAGACCATGGGATTCTGCAATGCAGGACAGTGCCATGAAAGACCACATAGGCGGTGGAGGCAGACTGCCAGGTTCAAGTGATTCCACGACAGTGATCAATGAGGGCTCCTTGGGTAGCTACTTAGCCACTCTGTGCTGTAGTTTTCACACGGGCAAAGTGGGGATCATTCTAATCATCTCGTAGAGTAGGTGTGAGGAGCATTAACTGCTGGTAAATGCTAACTATTTCTGTCCTGGGGGAGGGGTGGGCAGAGAAGATGTCTAGCACATGTTCCTTTCCATGTATTTGAGGACCATGTGGCTTTCCTAGATGGTCTTCTAAGGCCTGTTTACATCGATGCCGGTAAGAGACCACGAAGAGTAGAATGCACGATACCTACTTTAGTAAGGCTGGAATATTGCTCTTTGACAACCAAAAGCCTTTGTCATCTTGGTCCATGTCTGCGATCGCTTGTTGGGACGGCACCAGGACAGTGAGGTTTGAGGTGGACGACAGCATGGGCAGTACAAAAGTGTCCTGAATCACAAAAGGAAGAGTGGCCTGACGTAGTTTAGAGACAAACAAGACCGACTTAATGCATGGAAGAGATAACAATTTTGCACGTACTGTAATATCATTTCAGGGGTATGGGGGAAGGTGCAGGAGACACACTCTCTGAAACTGACTGGTTGATGCCTCATATTCCCTGATCAGAGTTTTGTCAAAATGCAAGTCTTTCTGAGCAGGTTGCAGTTGGAATGCTCATCCCTCATTGACTCTTGAATCTAAAAGAAGAGCTAGCGGGCAGGGTTGATAAAGATCATAGATGTGTGTCTGGTAGTTAGACTTTATGCCAACTTAAATTTCTGTGACCATGTTGAAGTAGAGTCCATCCTGTTAATTGGGTTACAGCCTGGTGATGCTGCCTTAGGGGGGTGGCCTTTATAAACGGAGAAACAGAACTTTTCCATCGCTCTCTCTGCCCTTCCATCTTTCTGCTTGCTGTTGACTGTGTCTGTGCCCAGGGGCAGCCCCATGGGGGGTCACCCAATCCTGAGAGCTCTTGGTGCCCTGTCATACTTCCACTGACCTTGGATCCATGTCCCTCTGCACCTACCGGCCCATGATCTCCTGCATCCCGCTCACCTTTCTGCACCATCAGCTTGCAGCTTCGTGACTCTGAACAGGGCTCCAGCTAGCATTGGACTTATGAATTTGCTTGGACTGGGCTGGGCTGCTTTTCTGATATGGGATTCCGTCTTGATGTAAAGTTCTTTCTATATACTTAGACCAGTGTCACTGATTTCGTTTCTCTAGACAACCCAGCTTAACAGTGTGTGTGCAGAGAACCTTCAGGGCCTTAAGATACACTTGGAGTAAGGACGATGGGAAGAATGCAGGTAGAATTTCAGCAAGGGAAACCGGAGCCTGAACCAGCCCTTCAGCTTTACCTAGAGATAGTTCTGGGTAGATGGGCTGACATGTTAGTGAATGTTTAATAACTGGTTCACAGGAGGAGCAGGAAGGAAGACTCTGGTTTGTAGTCGTTGATATTTTCTGTAGGTGGACATTCTCCCACCACGGCTGATGTCATCGCTAAGAGGATGGCACTGAAAAGCTACATGCCACTCTCATGAGCTCGGCTGAGCCAACTCCAGCTCACCACGGGGCAGGCATACGCAGGCGGGGTGAGATCAAGTATGATCCGTTAGGGGAGCATCAGCATGGTCAAGAGGACAGTTTCAGTGTCCTTTCTTGCTGTGGTAAGATCAGAGAAGTCCCACATGGAAGCACCAGGGAGATGACCGGGAGCGGATGCTAACCAGACGGGACTTAGCACAAGCCTGCTGCAAGGTGATAACCCCTTTGTTGGCACGGCTGGCTGAACTTGCCTCATCTGGCCACGGAGGAAAGAGATTCAGACCACTGGGGAAGGTGACCAGGGGATTATCATAATATTTTTCTATGTGAGCGGTACATTTTCCTAGGCCTGTTGGGACGAGCCCTGAGTACATGCAAAGTACTTTCAATTAGCAAGCTTAATCGCAAAGCCAACTTGGTGAATTGCATTGATGAGTTATGTTGACTTAAAAACAAAAAAACAACCTCTCTAGTGAATGTGCTTGAATCAGTTGATAAGTGACCATCTGTACATGCCCTAGACTGCCATTCCCAGCCGTAGTTGTTCGCTTGAATCACATGGAAAGCTGAAAAAATACTGATGTCCGGGCCAACCTTCCAACCAAGGACATCAAACGCTCTGGCCATGGGCATTTGAAACTGTGTTCCCTGTGATTTTTGAAGTGTCATCAGGTTGAGAGCTACTGCTTAAACAATCCCTCTCCACCTTTCTTACCAGGTGTATTTTCTGTTTTCAGTGACAAACACTCCAAATTTCTGAAAGGATGTACCTTCCCAATGGTAAATTCCAACGGATGTACTCACCGTGATCCACTGGTTAAATATAGCTGCGCCAGAGAGAGATGCCAATTCCTTATTCATATCGTGGAAGGGAGGGAGGGAGAGAGAAGAATACAGGAGACGGGGATCAGTGAGGGATGTGGTCACAGAGAGAGACGCATTTCTGGGTAGCCAGTATGGACAACTGCCTGGGGCTGAGAGATCCTTCCCCTGCCCCTTCCCCTGCCAGCCTTCCCCTGCTCCTTCCTCTGCTCCTTCCCCTGCCAGCCTTGAGGTTGCCACATGGATGGGTGCCAAGCTGGAGGGATTCTTACATTGCCAGAGCTGTGCTTCCCCCCCGCCCCCATGCTTAGGCAGTTGTATTAGCTTCAATATTTAAAGTCGAAAGCAATTGTAGAATGTTCAAATAAACAGCAACCTAAGGTTTTCCCAAATAAAAACTTAGCTCGTAAGAAGGTGGCTACCCGGCGCATATTCTTTCTGTAGTCTAAGGTGTCAATGGTGGTGCTGATGCAGATAAAGGGCTTGGCGAGAAGCCTGCTTATACAAAAATCTTTCACACCCACACCCTCAGCCACCAGGTAGGGGAAAACACAGAGTGTCTGGGGCCCCTGAGGGGGCACACAACCCAATCAGGAGTACCAGAAGAGTTCACCAGAGACCAGTTAGCTACCCATTTGGGGAAATTGGGTATGGAGAGAGTTAGAACGGCAAGAATGGGAAGTTAGGCTAAATGAACTTCTTGGCACCTAGTAGGTGCTCAATAAGAACTAACCCTTCTTCTCCACCTGCAGAGAGTCTGTGAGCCACAGAGCACGTCTTTGAAAATCTCTTTGAGCACTTGTGTTGTAGAGCACTTTAAAGCCATCTCAGTTACATGTTAGTGGATTGAGTTTTACTCCTCTCCAGAACATATGAGGGAACCCAACCCCTCTACCAGGGCATACAGTCCCATTTGGGAATAAGGTTTTCTGTGCTATGTTAATCGGGCCTTATCGGCGTAGACTGTGTTGTAAAGATAATCCCTTCTGTGATGTGGGAACAGTTCAGACACAGCGGAAAACATACACGGGAAGATCATTGTAAATGAGATAGCCAAGGACTGACGTTGGAGCTAAAAACTGAACGAGATGAGGGTTTTTCCGGAAAGCAGAGATCAGGCATCAGAGATCAGGGATCAGGGCGCAGGGAGCAGGGGTCAGGGAGTAGGGATCAGGGAGTAGGGAGCAGGGAGCAGGGATCAGGGAGTAGGGAGCAGGGCACAGGAAGCAGGGATCAGGGAGTAGGGATCAGGGAGTAGGGATCAGGGAGTAGGGATCAGGGAGCAGGGCACAGGGAGCAGGGATCAGGGAGTAGGGATCAGGGAGTAGGGATCAGGGCGCAGGGAGCAGGGAGCAGGGAGCAGGGATCAGGGAGTAGGGAGCAGGGAGCAGGGATCAGGGATCAGGGAGCAGGGAGCAGGGAGTAGGGATCAGGGAGTAGGGATCAGGGCGCAGGGAGCAGGGAAGCAGAGAGCTTGCCTTAGAGCCGGCTCCTTCAAGGACTTACCACAGCTACGTCTCCATAGCACTGCAGGCCGTCTCCTCCATAGCCCTCTCGACAAACACAGCTCCAGATGCCCGAGGACGCCAACCGACAAGCTGCCTGATAAGATGAAGATGCGAGAAGTGGTTTGCTTTCCTGGCTGAAGAGTCAGACATGAACGGCGTCTCAGAGACGATGGACCCCATCCAAGCTGAGAGCTACCCATCTGGGGCTGAAAGGTGGTGGGACGAGCCCACAGACTTCAGCCTGTAGGTTTAGGGCAGCACGTATTCCATCACAGTTAGTCTGCCTCGGTGTTCCCTGCCAGATTTCCTATACGAAAATCTGCAGCTGAGAATTCTAGATACACAAGGAGTCATTTGAAGCGTACATGCTAGGCAATATTTAAGACAGAACTTGTGCTGAACAATGTCTTCATTGTTAGGACATTACCATTTAACTGGGCAGTCTTTGTTTTACCTGCCAATTACTATGTGGGTTCTTCTAAGCTTGGGAATGGGCTAAGAGTGAGAAGGAACACAGACATCTTCCGTAGGGAATAAGAGAGGGTTAGCTTGTTA